CGCGGCCAAGTGTATTCGCAGTCCTTACTGGCAGAATGAAAATTGATCAGTTCTCCCTCCATTTCTTACTCAAACACGCCTTGTGCATTAAAAAATTAAATTTCATTGATCACTATTGGTTCGTTTATTGCTTTTATTGCTGAATGCTTCACACGTATGCCCTCTGAATAAATAAGACGTGTCGCGGAATTGAGGAACCATCAGCCGGGCCCCATAATATAGTGATAAAAAAGCAAGAACTTATCGAAAGCGATTTCCCCACATTCTCTCGGCCTTCATCGTTTTTCGGAAATGGAACAGCACACACTCTTTGAAGACCGACCAATAGTGTGAACTAAAAAAAGAATTTTATTTGGGATTTTTGTTATTAGATAAAGCATGGTGCATGACTGTTTGCACAGAGTTATTTGATGGTGTTTAAGGCATTTCCAATTTGATTTTTGTTGACTATAATGGATAACGTGCCCATTTTCCGCCACTTTTTAGAGGTCCATCCCCTTTGAATGACATTGCACTAAGGAGGCTGCGCCGTGTGCAGCACGTCGCTACAGGAGAAAGAAAAGTTAAAGGCAGCGATTACGATAGGTACTCAAGAAGGGTTTAGAGGAGACGTGGTGGTGCTCAATGGTACGTCAGTGGCGAAAAAGCGGAGAAATCCGTCAAAAAACGCAAAACGGGACCCCTTTTTTGGCCGTTGGTTTTCACTCATGAACAGGTAACAGCTCAGAAAGCGGACGTATGAACGAGTTCAGCGCAACGCGTTTGGTAACACCATGCCAAACCACGCTCCAATCGAGTTGCTCCAGTTGTGCCGCTGCTGGCAACGCAGCTCGTCCAAATCACCAACTAAACTAGTGGGCGGATCGCTTTTGGGGCGGAGTGCTTTCGAAGTCCTGCTCAGCAACCAGCGAACCTTCCGTCGTGAAAGCGCTACACCTCGCTTCCCTGGCAGCCAATTAACTGATCCGTGTGGTGCATATGCCTCCCTGATGCGCTCCCACCTTATCGTAATCGCTGCCTTTTAAGTTTGATTTATTTGGCATTCGTTTAAGGTCAAACTCATCAGCAAGCTTTTTGAGCACAAGACATTGTACATTTGAACATTGATGAAGCTCTTCTTTCATAAAACTTCATGATAACATTCTTCACGTTGCCTTTCTTTGAAACCTGGTTTTCTGCTCGACATTTGTTCCATAAACAGACTGTTCGCTTATCTGTGCCCAGGTTTTGGTTGGTGTACTCTATATAGCCAAACGTTTCGACAAATCTTTGTTCGGTTTCAAAAGCGTGAAAGCGTTTTCAAAAGCATCCGATATGCTTATCTAACGCCGTAACACAATACGCATTTAGCACAGTGTCACCTATGCTGATTAAACAAGAGAGTGTGTATCTTAACAATAAGTTTCTCACCAAAATTCCAACAGTGCCGATGACATGCTCAGCTTCCGTCAGAGACTTGAAGAATACCAGTAAAATAAATGAGATTAACCGGTCGTGCACTGCTTATAAGGAATGTACGTGCAGTGCACTACCTTCCCACTATCATAGCTCGCAAAGAGGGATATAGGGCAAGAAATCGGCAGTTACGGAGATGCATTCGTTCCTGTTGTTACTGCATGGAATGAGTTGCCTTATAAAGAAAGCTTCAAGGGCTTTCTAGCACCGATACCGTTTTTGTAAGCTAGTATCGTGCACTTGACGTCGAAATCATGGCCAGCATGACATTCCCTTCTGTGCTTACGGAGAGGTGTACTCGTGCTCTCCCTACTTTTGCTAGCCAGATGTTCTCTCACACATTATCGATATACGCATAACTTCTATTCGAAGTGTATCGCTATACGAAGTTGCATGCCCACGCTCGTTACTGCGAAAACTGCGTCGGTTGTACAACCTTGGCCGGGCATTTAGGACGACATAGCTATGACCGACCACCGAACAAAATCGGTGAACATCGGCCTGGGTTGGATTTTTAGTTGCCGTATAGTCTGCGTTAACGGAGCAGCAATGGTGGTATGTTCGAAAACACGTTGGGACATGCATTCCTCCGAAACCACCCTCTTTCCTTGAAACGTTTGGAGAAGAATTTGGCACTATTCAACTATTACAACCCCAAAATCTCAAAATTTTATTTTTCGTCGAAACTTCGCCCATATAGGGGTATTCGATGCCCTGATTACGAAAATGACATTCATTTTTGACGTTGGCGCCATTTGGCGCCAATTGGCGCCAGTTTGGCGCCAGGGCTATTTTCACCAAATTCGCTGGAAACTTGTATACAGGGGTTATTTGGGGTCCTGATCACGAACAACATTCATTTTTCCAGCTAGCGCCAGTGGGCGCCTGTTTTCCGCTCGTCTGCGCCCTCTCACTGATCACCTCGCGATCGGGACTAAGCCTTTGAGGAGGGAGTGCTCCGAAGTGAATAACACTTATCCTGTGATCTTATACGCTTTAACGTTTGCCACATGTTGACTGGTTCACCCACCCCGGAGTCCTCCCTCCTTCTAGGCTCAGTCCTAGGTATTATGTACAAGTGAGAGGACCCAGGAAAATGGAAAATGTGCGTTGAACGGTGGAAATGCTAAAAACGAATGACATATCCGTAATCAGGACCCTAAATAACCCCTGTATACAAGTTTACAGCGAATTTGGTGAAAATAGCCCTGGCGCCAAACTGGCGCCAATGGCGCCAACGCCGAAAATGAGTTCCATTTCGTAATCAGGGCATCGAATAACCCTTATGGGCGAAGTTTCGAGAAATTCAAAATTTTGAGATTTGGGGTTGTAATAGTTGGTAATAAGTTGGAGAGAGATTTTCGGTCTTGTCCACGGCTTCCCTCCACTTTTTCCCACTGGTGTTTCTTTTCGTACACTTTTCAAGCGCCAAAATACCACAACTCGATCCCTCCCCGTGCCTTTAATAATTCATAGAAACGAGTGCGTGGGCAACCTAAAGTAATTTATTGATAGGTTGATATCACTGAGCTCACTGCTCTATAAATATTTCGATTATATTCACAGGCTCATTCATGTGGAATGAATTGCGCCAAAAGCTGTATGGCACAGGAGCAACATATTGTTCAGGACGATGCGCAGATTACCATAAGGCATGCATGGTAGTCATTAACCCATTCGCGACCGCGCGGGATTGCGCAATAGCAGTACAGTCAGGAGATTTTTCTTCAATAAAATTTGAGTGGAGGGAGATTTCCTCTGCCCAGGGCTGGCGTAGATGAATGAGGGTATGAAGATTCTTTTCATGGAAGAAAACTTTCCAAATTCCATTTGAAACCCGGCAGCCAACGGTGGATGCCATTGCCCGAGTGAGATCTTTGTCAGCCACCGGTGGCTGACATTGTCACGAATGGGGTTAATACTTATTCTGATGGACGAAGCGCTGCCGAAGACGGTTAGCCAGTGGTTTCGACAGCATCAGAGTCAAGACAATCCAGGGTTAATACGAGTCCATTTCCAGCCCATCTGCATTTGTCTAGGATTCCTCAACCCATGGTTCACCAACTCACGAAGTAATACCTGATCAGGAAGAAATTGTCCCAAAAAGCTGAAGAACTCAGATCTTTTTAAACTCTAGTTGTTCAGTTCGGCAACAAGTGGAGAGGAAAGAAAAAGGGATGAAAATCGAAGGAATATCAATGTTGAAAGAAAAGAACCTGAAACCGAGGTGTTCCTCATGACGAGCGTGTATCTGTCCAAGGTTCGCAAGTAATGGGTCCAATGTTAGCGGGTCTTCCAAATGTTCCATTGTGGTCTCTATCACCTGCAAATACTCCAGACATCATTGCAGTTTAATCCAAGATCGACCTTCTCTTATATAGGCATCAAGGTCTGATATGTGTGTTTTGTTGTGGCCTGTTCAAGTTTGCGGAACTTTTATCGGACTCGGAGCCTTTTCGCCTTCTTTAGCCTGGAAAACGAACAGGCCACTGGCGAACAATCATGGAGAAGGCTGTCAAAAGGATGGCATGGCTCATGAAAGGACGATATCAATTGCTTGTCGATTTACTAAACTCTGACGAGGACGAGGAGGCCGAAATGAAGACCTAATAAGATGAGCATACTATAGCCTATCCATCAGTACGGTAACGTACATGAATCAAGCGGTACCTGCATGAATCGAAGTGCATGAAAGGCGAATTCGCTAGATTTCTTCTCATCATCGCTGTTATCCCTCATCATAAACGTGAACATCAGTTTAGCGTCTGGAGCTTGTTCGAAGATCATCTCGAAGATGTCCACCGCCAACGTTGCCATCTTCCTGAACACAATTTTTCAGCTTGATGAAATATTCTGTAGCACTGTGCAAATGACGCCAATGCCCTGAGCTACATGTGGGCCAAAAAGGTCGCTGCCCATGGTGCCCCACACTAAGCCTTTCGTCGCTTAAGGTGCTATGTATTTGATGAAAGTTTCACGGCAAAATAATCCTCAGATGTCCTCCCTCCCTCCGTTATCTGCCAACGCCGTCCAAAAGGAGGCCCATCGTAATCGCTCCAGACTGAGGCTGTTACATGATTTCTTCAGCCGTTTAACTAATGGATACCTTCCTAGAGAGAGTGGTCTTGAGTATGCACGACCACCGCCAACCAGCGTTTCAGACAATCGTAATTTTCCACAATTTCCTCGAGGACCTCATTGAGTTTGAACCGTATAGTATACATGCGACTGCGAGAAGTTATTCCATTGTCGTGGTAGAAAGCTATTATGAATGAGTATGATTCTCGATAAAAGGAATTATGCTTCATTTTTCAGTCAGAATAATCCGGTTCAAGTTTGGTAATGTGAAAATAATTTCATTTGAGCTGGGGAGGAAAAACGAATTCTTTTTTACCGCCCTCCTCTTCCCCCGTGGAAAACATCACGGAATGGAAACTCGCTAGTTGTTTGTCGATTGATTGAATTCAAAAAAAGCATAGCGAGCATCGACAAAACTCTGCATTTTTTTCACGGTCAAAAGGAAGCCCATTAGAATTTAAAGCAGTAGGTCGCCAGTGATGTTGGAATTAGAAGAAACCATGAGAAACGGTTCAGAAATAGAAGCCCTTCCTTTCCTGCTTTCGCACTGATGCGACTCTCATCAGTGCTGCTCTCTTCAACGCCTTCGATTTGTAAGGAGGTTGCCTATGTTATTGCATAACAGCAATTGATTTCTGTGTATGTTATGGAAGAAGAAGGAAATAATAGCTAAAGAGGTAAAGTGTGAGCGAGAATCGAGCCTAGTTTATTCACATTCAATTAAATATTTCTAAATTTTTTTTGTGTTACTGTTTTTTTAACGGGAACTTTCGGTGCAGTTTTTTGAGTAAGTAAATCAACTAAAAAAATAAATAAAATAGTAAATCGCAACAGTAGCCACGGGGTCGACTTACTTTGAGACAAGATTCCATGAGCGCGTCAGAAGACTTTTGTCGATTTCAGTCAGATGAGCAAGTGACACATTCCCTCACTTCTGTAACATTTTCCAACATCTGAAGAAACATTAAAGGAAGCGATTACGATAAGGAAGGTAAGGAGAGGACGCATCGGTGGGAGTATATGCGCCACATGAAGCAGTTACTTGGCTGGCAAGGAAGCGAAGTGTGGCGTTTTCTAGACGAAAGGTGCCTGTTGAGCAGGATCTGAAGCACTCCGTCCCGAAAGCGTTACGCCCACTAGTTCAGATGACTTGGGCGAGCTATTTGCTGATGGCTTTTCATTTTGGAAAGATCATTTCCCTTTTAGCGGTTGGATCTTCCAACTTGCCTTATGTATTGCCTTATCAATCGAACGCTATGCTTGTTAGCATGATGGCGGCTATCGGGGTTCAACACGTCCGAACCCCTTCTTTCTTTGTCGCTCCATGGTCGAAAACGAACGGGCAATTAAGGGGGTGCTATTTTGCGTATTCTTGACGGATTTCTCCGCTTTTTTGCCATTCGCGTGCCATTGAGCACCCTCATTCCCCCTCTAAACCCCCTCAAAATCTATCGTAATCGCTGCCTTCAAGCAAAAAGTCACCAGAGGAATCCAAGAGGCGAATTAGCGGTCGGTCTATACCAACCTCGGTCGTGTCGCGAAACACGAAGATCCGCTCCAACAGAACCCTGGGCGCGCCGGTGCCTACGAGCATCTGCCGATATGACCCAGCCTGATCTCTCCGTGATCGTGCGGCAACGCACGGGCCGGTAGCATCGGCACCATCACGGCCTGGCCTGGTGTTCCCTTCGTCTTCGGGTTTTTCCCCTCTTCGTATTCTTCGGCAGACTCGTGGGGCTCTAGCCCTTAGAACTATATTCGAGACTTCTGTAATCCAACTTCTCGTGGTCGAGCGGCGGGTCGATGGAAGCGACCCGACGTGAGTTAATTTCTTACTAACCTTTTGTATTTCATTTCATGATTTTCGGTTGAGTAGTTCAGTAGAATGAATTTGAAGTTAGGACATAAAACTTACTTTAGTTCTGTGTGTTTGCGTCGTGTAGCAATATGGGTGTAAGCCCGACACGTGTATTTGTTGGTAATTAAACTAGTGTTGCTTAGGTTAATCGGTAGGACTCAAAGTAGGATGTGTAGTAGGTTTAGTTGTTAGTCCACTTGCGCCCCAGTAGGTGTACTGCAGAGCCGGCTGGTAGGCTGTCAATGCTTTATCTCTTACTTGGTTCCTGGTTTTCCCCCCTTGGGCGCCCTAAGTCTCCTCCTGGACCCACCGATCCGCAACAGGTGCATTTCTAAGGCTCCGAAGAAGGCGATAAGGCCGAAACGTTGGCCGAATAAAACGTCAATAAGTATCTTGGTTACGGCTCAACAAACGTCACACTAAAGTATTCTCGCAATGCCAAGATTATACCGAGAGTCGAACGTGGTCACTATTTAGCGGAGTACTTC